AATTGGATTGCTGGTAACAATTTTTTCAAAAAAGTATTGCCGGCAATAGTTAACTATTTGCCCATAGCTGGGAACACCAGCAATTAAGAGGAGGTTCCACGCTCCTCAAAACCTCCTGATCAGAGGCCTTGCTGCTGGACGTAGTTTAACGTCTTACCCAGGTCACGGATGTAGTTTAACGTCTTATTCAGGACGCGGATGTAGTTTAACGTCTTACTCAGGACGGGTTAGAACGTTGGCATACTGACCATGAGGCCCAGGTTCGAGTCTCACCATGATCGATTTGTCAGGAAGGAGAGTTCCTGATGTTATCGGACTGTTTTAGGGGTCGATCCCAGCGTGTTGTACCGTTGGAAAGGGCATGAAAACCGTACCACGGTTTGGCCCAAGCCTTGTGATTGAAATTGTGTAGACGTAACCCTTGGATGCCAGCACGAAGCCACAAGTCATCGTGGCCGAGGGCTTGAAAGTGCTGACCTTCTTCAAATTGTTGACCACGCTAGATAACACGCTCTCTCCCAGAAACTGTAACTAAGGTCTGCTCAGCATAGTTGCAGTATAAACCACAGGTGGGCTCTGTGGGTGTTGAATAAACACAAAATGCACCTGGATTGGTTAGCTGCCCTAATAGACGGCTATCCACGAATACGAGTGTCCACCTATATATATATATATATATATATATATATATATATATATATATATATATATATATTTATAAAGGTAAAAAGGAAATAGGAAAACTGTATTATTATCCGACGCGTTTCGCCTAATGTGGATATTTTCAAGGCATAATTAAATGAATTTATTGAAACAAAGTAACTATTAACAACAAAACAAATTGTCCTTAGAAACTGCAAGAATTCTTTTTTTATTTCTTGATATAGTTGTGTACGTACACGATTATATCAAGAAATCAAAAGAAAATGGTTGAATTCATCAACACAACAATAAAATCTATTTCCACACGTAACAGTACTTTTCAGTTGACAGTATGAATACAATAGTGTTTTCTAAATTCTTCTAGTTGCTAAAGACATTTTGTTTTGTTCTTAATAGTTACTTTGTTTTAATAAATTCGTTTTTGCCTTTAAAAATTCCACATTGGACGAAACGCGTCGGCTAATAATACAGTTTTCCTATTATATTTTAGCATTTATAAATATTGTCTTTTTCTACACGTTAACTCTGAGAAATTTTCATGTATACATATATATATATATATATATATATATATATATATATATATAAATAGTATATATATATATATATATATATATATATATGGACATTTATATAAATTGTCCCTACAGAAATATTTCCTTCATTTTGATGAATGCCATCTTAATGAATAAATAAATATTTTACATGTACCGTCAAAAGGGAATTAAATATTTAAGTCATTTTGAAACCTATGGTTCTTCTAAATTCTCAGAACTTTCAATTGGCCTGCATTTCCTTGGAACCGGAATCGCTTAATTATTTAACTAAGTAGATATGAGGGGTGCTGAAAACCTTTCGACATTAAACACTACCTAAAGTTTTAGGAAACATTCGCCATTCACTGGCCGAACAGCCAGTGTCATTTCTTGTTGAAATTAATACAATCCTCCTCTTAAAACATTTTTTCTGGGAAATAGATTTCTCAAGTCCCGTAACGGTTATCCCTGTTTCCAGTATTGATGGGTGTTTTCCTTCTAACCAACTTGATTATATCATTATTACGTATAGATCAGGTTCCCGTATGATCACCGAAGTTAAGCAACGTTGGGCCTGGCCATAGTGTAATTATTAGGTGGTGGTGAACCGAGTTCGAATTCCCGTCAAATAATTAGTTAAACTGATCTTCGTCTCATTCCCTAGATGGCTGAACGCTTGGGAATACGAGGTAAGATTGGATATACGTGAGGTGCAATGGGTAACGACTCAGAATTGTTAATCAGAGAACCGAGTTCTAATCCCAGTCGGTTTCGTTATATTCACTTATGTGTAAAAACCTTGGAAAAGTCATAAGTCCACCTCTTCTACCCCAAGATATTGGTTAATTAGTCAAATCTATCCGGAAATCAATATTATCTTCAAAATATTCTTACTTCCTAAAATATTTCCTGGTTTTTAGTTAACTCGCAAAGGGTCTATAAACAGTTAAAAAAACAAACAAATCAATCATAATTTTAGAGTTACATGTGCCATCCATTTTAGTTGTTGCTGCTGTTGGAAGTCTTCAAGTGATGTGGTTCCTGTTATTTGGTACAGTGCTTTGTTTGTGATTCTGTAGCGCCAGTCTAAAATACCAAGTAATTATGGCGTATCAGACCATAATCTGGAACAGTGTCAAACCAAAGATATTTGAAGGATGACAAAAGAAAACGGTAACTGACAAAGAAAGAGAGAATGAATGAAAGAAAGAATGAATAAAAGAAAGAAAGAAGTAAATAAAGTGAAAGAGAAAGAAAGAAAAAGAAAAAAGAAAGAAAGAAAAAGAAAAAAGAAAGAAAGAAAAAGAAAAAAGTAAAAGAAAACCAATCAATCAAAATTTTAGAGTTACATGTACTATCCATTTTAGTTATTGCTGCTGTTGGAAGTCTTCAAGTGATGTGGTTTCTGTTATTTGGTACAGTTCTTTGTTTGTGATTCTGTAGCACCAGTCCAAAATGGCCTTCGCTTGAAACCATTCGTAAATATGAATCTTAGAATATGATTGTATGTAGAAGACAGTTTAGACATTTCTTATTAATGACCTACACATGAAAGTCTTCATCTGACAAGGCTCTTTAATAAAGCCTCGTTTTTTTTTACACTTTGAGCTCTAACCACCTCTTTTCATGGTGGTAGAGAAAAATGACGTAATGCCCAGCCACCGGTTGAACGGTAGGTAAACACTTGTAACTATTTTTATATTTACCGTGAAACATTGTCTACTAATTATTTGCGAATTTTGACTCAGGAGCTCAGGCAGAAGGGTTAGAATTGTTCAGGAATGCAGGGATCAAAGGGTTAATGTTTTGGTTTTGTAGCAAATTGCTGTGTTGCGCGAGACAATAGCTTACATAAACTATTTTTTGGTTCAGTTGTCTTAGAGGTTTGTTGAGCTGAAAGGTTTTTAATATCTCACTTAAGTTGAAATCACCTTTGAATAATTAATGAATTTTAATTAACAAAAATCACAGCTGAGATTATGTCTGTAGTTTTTGGTTGGAGGCATCAGTTGTGTTGCTGAGCCGAGAACACATGGGAAATAAAAGAAGGAAAATGATGTAAAAGACATGGAAAAGAGAAAGTCCAAGAAAGAATGAAGGAACGACTAAAGAAATGGAAAATGGAGGGGCATGATGATGTCAAGTTTTCTTGCATTAATTAATAATGGCGTAAGACAAAAGTAGGATCGAACTCATTACCAAGTAATTATGGCGAATCAGACCATAATCTGGAACAGTGTCAAACCAAGGATATTTGAAGGATGACAAAAGAAAAAGTTAATTTACAAAGAAAGAAAAAGAAAGAGAGAAAAAAATGACTGAGTGAATGAAAGAATGAATAAAAGAAAGAGGCAAAAAAAGAAGGAAATAAAGTGAAAGAGAAAGAAAGAATGAAAGAAAAAGAAAGAAAAAGAAAAAGAAAGAATGAAAGAAAAGAAAAAAAGAAAGAATAAAAAAAGAAACACAGAATTAAAGCAAAAGAAAGAAAGAAAGAAAAAAGAGTAAAAGAGAGAAAGAATGAAAGAAAAGAAAAAAGAAAGAATAAAAAAGAACGACAGAATGAAAGGAAAAGAAAGAAAGAGTAAAAGTAAGAAAGAATGAAAGAAAAGAAAAAGGAAGATTAAAAAAAGAAAGAAAAATGTAAGGTAAAGAAAGAAAGAGTAAAAAAAGAAAAAATGAAATAAAAAGAAAGAACGAGTAAAAGATTAAATAAAGAATGAAAAGAAAGAAAGAAAGAATGAATGAAAATAAAAAGAAAGAGTGAAAAAGAAAGAATGAAAGAAAATAAATAAAGTCTAAAAGAAAGAAAGAATGAAAAGAAAGAAAGAAAGAATGAATGAAAATAAAAAAGAAAGAGTGAAAAAGAAAGAATGAAAGAAAATAAATAAAGTCTAAAAGAAAGAAAGAATTAACGGAAAGAAAAAAGAAAGAGTAAAAAAGAAAGAAAGATATATTTTTATTGATATAATTCAGGAGTCTTAGTTTTAGTTTTAAGCTCTATACGTGCACTGATTCCTGGTGAACCCCATATTTTTCGTGGTTTTCATATCCATCTCATACATGATACTGCTGCATTAGTCACAGAGTAATTTTTTGTCGCATTTTTTTTTTAAATTTCAATTCCGCGTCCAATAGGCCGGCAAGTACAGTAATTACTTAGTAGTGAGTTCAATCCTAACAGGGAATTAGAATATAATCATTATCTAACGGCGATGCGCCCTTAGTAATTAAATGGGGACAAAAAGTTAAATGACTAATAAATTAATTAAGAAATGAGTAGATAGAAAAGAAACAAAAAAAAAAAAAAAAATCTCATAAAAAAAAATAATCAGCCATTTTGTATTCGTTTCTGGGCTCCAAAATCAGAGGCTACGTTTTTCTTTGAGCGTTCAATCTTCTCCTTGCGAGAGATTCTTCTAACCTCAAAGATTCTACCGTTTCCTAAAACTGTTATCAAGCTTGTTCGTGTGTGTACATCTTCTAAGTTCTGCTGATTTCAGTTTTATTGCTTACATTGATACATATACACTGACAGCTTTCAAGGCTCGATTCTGCACCTGATGTCTTGAAGGATACATTCTTTGTCAACCACTAGGGTTCCTAGATCTTTTTGACATTCCGAGGTGACACCAAAAGCAAAACAGAGTGAATCCAGTTCATAATGGGGTTCACCATACCCCAATTCTTCTTAGACAAAAGTTCCTGATCGCCATTAAATTCACACCATATCCTACGTCTTTCTTGGTACAATCCCTTTATGGATTTCATCACACACGATCTGTTTCTCATATTAATGTGGTTTATGACCATATCACATTGAAACACCGGTTCTCGTACGATAAACGCAGTTAAGCAACGTCGGGGCTGGTCAGTACCTAAATGGGTGACTGCTTGGGAATATCAGGTGCTGTAAGTTTGGTGTGTGGGTGGTGTCATGAATAACGTCTCGGAATTGCTAATCGGAAATTCGTGTTTCAATTCCAGTTAGGTTCGTTATATTCACTCCCGCGCAAATACCCTTGCGAAATGTATGAATCAACCTCTTCTCCTCCCAGCTATGGGTTAATCAGTAAAACTTGTGTTACTAAACCATTACAATCTCCAAAAATATTCTTAAAATCTAAAAATATTTTCTGGCTTTAAATAACCTAAAAGGTTGAAAAACAGTAAAATATAATCAATCAGTCAATATTAACGGTAATCTTTAAAAGAATACAACTAATTCACTAAGGGGTATCCTGTTATTAGGTTTTGACGTGTGTATTTTTGAAATGCCAAATGATTACAGCAAAAATCTAAAAAAAATTATAATTATTTAACATATAGATTGGAGAAGGGCTGTAAAATTCTTGGCATGACCAAAATCGATTAAAAATTCTGTTTTCCCATTAACTTTGTGTAATGGACTTTTCATTACCCTCTCATGTTTTAATTGCTATGAGATAAAACGTTTTAAGTGAGGAAAAACAGACAATTAGTTGAGACATTTTAATTATATTCATATAAATTTCTATTTTTTTCCTATTTTTTATCAATAGAATTAGGCTCACATGTCGTCTGTTTTATACGCCTTCCGGTTTTTTGAACAGGAGTAGAGGTTTATCCCTTGTTTCCTGTTTAGAAATGGGTTACGGGTTCTTTCTAAAGTCAATTTCCACTCTATACTTCTAACGTCTCCGCGTAAGACTCTGAACTTTAGTTTATTTACATTTTTTTCCTCAATAGGAGTTTGGCTAATATTCTGTTAACTTTCCTCACATTTTAGGAGTGGGTTTCTGGTTTTGTCTAAAGTCTTTTCTTTCTCTTTGACTTGCAGTGGCACCTTTATATCAAGATATTTCAACTGTAAAATGATGAGACATTGCCGCCAATCTAGTACTGCCCTTAAATTCATAAAGTTTAGATATCAAGGAGGAAAATTCATCAAAACAATTACCAATAAAATAATTATAGAAAAGGCAGAGGGAAGCTACATTACGGCGATAGGGAAGGGACTGAATCCGAGATGCCACGTCAGGACCAATAACATTGGCAATCTAGTATAGCGTTTAAATGCGGAAAGAGCTTTAGTGCTTTTTCCGAACAATATATATATATATATATATATATATATATATATATATATATATTAAATTTCAGTATATACCGGGATTGAATAACGTTGACGAATATTTTCGTCGGTCGAAATATACTTATTCCGCATATCAGGTGATTTTAGATTTTATTTTGCATTAATATATATATATATATATACTTATATATATATATATATATTTTATATATATATGTGTATATATATATATATATATATATATATATATATATATATATATATATATATATGATATCTTATAAACACTTTAACAATTTATTCCTACAATCATTACTTATCTTAGGTCTTAGTGTCTACCGTCTCCTTCGAAGTAGTCCAGTTGGCTATTTATAAACACCATAAAGATTAACAATGAAAGTCTGTACAACCTTTGAATTGCGCTTGTTATTCAGTGTTGCATAACGCACACAGACATAGACACACACAAGCACACACACATGCACACATACACACACGCACATACATGTATATATGTCTATGTTTGTGGATGTGTTTGGAACACTAAAAAATATTAAAAAATTACAATCTTCAGACACACTGGGTTGTATATTAATATTCTTTTTTTTTAATTTTTTCAATTTGATTTTCAGTTCGACTAGTTTCGGCCAGTGTTGCCATCATCAGGAGAAAAGAAATCGGCTTGTTAGTAACAGTGAACTACAGAAATGAATGATTATTTATATATATATATATATATATATATATATATATATATATATATATATATATATATATATATATAAATGATTAAAGTGTGAGGAACTGTCCTCCTGAAGAGTGCATAATATATATATATATATATATATATATATATATATACATTTTGTAAGCATATTAAATATATCATATACACTTCAAGATACCGTCTCCTGTGATATTTGATCTCGTGTTGGTCATTTGTTTTACTATCCTATTTGAAGAAGCTTGGTACCACAAACTATAGCCCTAAATAAATCAGTTCTCGAGGTATAACTTCAGGCATAACAAAACGGACTGTATACAAGCTATATATTTAAAGATATATATTTTCGGCATTAAATAACAGACAGAGTTGTAATGTCGTTAAATCAAACAATCAATCAATTGTTTATTTTATATAAAAATAGTTTCTAGTATTTTCTAGTCTTTCCTTGCATTGGCTTCTGCAGAGTATTTTGGTATAATCCACTAATATTTGTTTTATGTTGATAATTCTATTTCGGTTGTGATGCGCTGATCGATGTGTGTAAAAGTTTCTACAAGTGACAAGTCAACCTACGAGAAAGTGTAGTGCCAATATCTTGGGACCTTCAAAAGTGCTCCCGATGTAAAATTAACGTTGTTTTTTTTAATTCTCATGTTTCACTAATACGAACAAACAAAAACCAATATTAAATTTTTACATCAGCCACAAATACAAGACGGTCTCTCGTAGATTGACAAGTTTTTCTCCGTCTCCTTCTTGATCAAACCCCCTTAACATTATATGTATGTATATTTACTTTCAGTTCTTCCATTAATGTAGTTATGAAATTTATGGACGCTGCCTTTGATTGTAGAATTAGTAAGGAACATTAAATTTAATATAAATTGCTACACATAATTAGTATTTAAGATGGTATATTCGGCAGAGGAATTACTTAAGACTCCACCTAACATTAGGATGAGTAAATTCCCCGCCATTACAGCAAGGATTATATTAGGGGCTTGAACATAAAATAGTTTACGAGTAGTTTCGTGTAACACAGTAAACTGCTACAAAAATATTAACCTAAAACTCATGTCAGGTTCTTAAAAATTTTAAATTCACATGGATGTCATTAATGGTGCCTAACTTGTTCAGAAATATATGATCGCTTTCTTTGATCAATGGTTAAAAATCACTTCGAGTGAGTGTGGCATGTAGGTCTTTGCAAGGACCATCCTTTTTCGAACTTCGTGGACTGGAAGTACAACTTCATTAATAAAGAAAAAAACTCTGCCAAGTGACAGAAACAGCGTTCTTTAAAAAAAAAAGAAGCAAAATCTAAAACCGATATCACATATAACTCATAAGGAAAATAATTACAGAAGAATTTCTCTTATCCGGAATTTCTCATAACCGGCATCCCTAATAACCGGAATCTCTCATATCCGGGATCCCCGATAACCGGAATTTTGCATATCCAGACATGTTTTTATTGTGTATATTTGAACTATTTGGGTGATATGTAACTGATTTGAAATCTTTTTTCAGGAAATTTACTTTGGATAATTACTTATGCTTATTTCACCCTAATTGCTTGTATTGGTGCAAAAGATGATGGGAATAAGACGAAAAAAACAACTTTTGAGTTATTGCAAAAAATGGAAATTTTAAACAGACTAGACGCTGCTGAAAGTTCATTGTAATTAATGGCTGAGTTCAACATAGGAAAGTCAACATTGTATGATATAAAATCTTCCAAAGAAACTATTCTCCAGCGTTCACACTGTCACAATGAACAAAGAAATAAAAAATATGATTGTAATGAAACCTGGACTTAAATTGAAAAAGGTATTGAAAAGGTTGTCAGTTTTGTGGAAAGAAAGCCAGCATTCAACTATGATGATTGTAATGACGCACACAGAGTTAAAAAAGTGTCTTTCGTTTAAAAAATTTCAAGAACAAAGCAAAACGAAATGCGGAAATAGTTGGGAATGACATTAGAAGAGAAAGAATCATCATGCGACAGCGATTAAAAAATCCTAGTTACATTATTTGTTTTGCATATGGGGCATACTTAATTTAAAGAATTTTCATTAACATTACATAATTTATTTGTTTTTCCTTACAATCGGTCCCGTTATACTCACCATTAGCTTATTTTGTTTACTATAAAACATTGAAGATAAATGTTAAACCTGATTTCAGTTATTTTATTTTAATCTAAATGTAACCCCTCATATCCGGACTTTGTAACCAATTCCTCATATCCGGAATTCCTCATATCCGGACTTTGTAACCAATTCTTCATATCCGGAATCCCTCATATCCGGAAGGCCTTCTTTGTCCGGTTTTCAAGGTTTCTACAGTATATATTTTTTTGTTTTTTTTACAGTAAGGTTATCCCTGTACAAGGGTCCACTCGAGGAAAGGGTTACGCTAATGGGTAATTTATATGGATATGAGGGGAAGATAGATGTTAACTCTTGAATAGGTTAAGATTATAGTGATCGAGGAAACAACCTCTTGGGAGGCTGTTCCACATGGCAGGGCTTCGCAGGAAGAAGCTGTTTGAGTGGATCGAACTTACTTCATGCCGATGGAATACGGAGAGAATGTGGGTAGTTTGCGACTTTATGAGTGGCATGGCGGGTCCTGGCCGTGAAGGTAAGACCTGGAGGTACCAAGGAAGGTAGTTCATCCGGGCATTTTCAATGGCAGTAGCGATAGAGTCGTTAGAGACTCGCTATATCCCGCCTGAGACAGGTTGACTTTCCATAGTATTTAAAATAAAACATTAGGAATGAGGGTTTACCAGAACTCGAAAGAGAGTTAAGAATTACTGGACTTGAGAATCCTATTTCCCCGAAAAAAAAGTAAGATTTTTTAAATTTCAACAGAGGGAAATTATTTACATTATTCGGACTATTGTCCTCATATTTGTCGCCATATTTATTACAACGTTTCGGCCGTTGTACTCTCCGGCCTTCTTCAGGTGGTTGGAATGTCGAACTGAACTCTTTATTTCGCTCACTGGGGTAGACTGTTCTAGTTCCACGTGCCATGTTTTAATGGTTGTCAGTTATCAGTTATCTCCTGTTAATTTCCCTCTGAGAAGACAAAGATGAGGACAATA